CCTCCACACTCCCCACAAGTCTGGAAATTTACCAGTAGGCGAGTGGCAATTAATGCTGCCACTGCTACCCCAATACCAAATTTTCAGACCCATGGGAGAACTAGGGGCACCAAATCACACAGCTCTGCAGGCTGGGGGTCAAACACCCCTGGTCATTGGTAAGAGACTATCCTCTGTAGCAAGGGGCATGGCCCTCTACCCAGAACCTCTTGAGCATATACTGACAACATGCTGTGGTTCTCCTGATTTACTGGTGGCCGGTTAGGGTGTTAGGTCTATGTTGTGTCAGGGTTGATGGTAGTCATATGTAAAGTTTAGATTATATTTTATGTGGGATGGTTTGGATAGAGATGATCCTGCCTCAGGCCGGGGTTTGCAGTGGATGACCTCTGGAGGTCCCTTCCAGCTCTACTAATCTTACCAATGTACTAAGGGCTAAAATGAAAAAGAAATACCCATCCGTGCTTGCTTCCCTTTCAACCGTGTATGCACCAACTCATTCCCCACCCTACTCATCCAGTTACACAAACAAGCAGGGGGGCTATTATCTGAAGCCATCAGACTAAGCAGCTACTCAAACAGTTACTTCTGCTCCCTCAGAAACTCTTGAGTCCCAAATTTTCATCACCAATCTCTCAGGACCCTCTCCCTGGCCTGCTCTACTACTGTACTTGTTGCTAATTGTTCTGCTGCAGGACACAGAATGTGGCTGTCTCTGGACCGTTGGACTATCTCTGACCACTTTTTTCCCCCACTTCAGGATCTTCTCTCCAGTAACCTCTGACAGCCACCTTAGCCCAACTAAGGGGGAAAGCCCTGGAAAAGCAATGAAATATGATACTGTTTTGTTCAGGAAGAAAAAAAAAATGTCTCGTCTTTAACTTTCTGCATCACAACGCAACCTACAGCTGCAACTTTCCTCTCTCTCGTGTTTTTATTGTCTCTCCCCCACTCCCCATCTGTCGGCTTGCAAGTAGCATCTTAGGTCATCAAAAGTGGTCAGTATATTTAGTTAAAAGGGGAGGTTTTGGCCTGATGAATGGCCCACAGACTACAAAAAAATTACCAGTAACAGTCCAGTAACATTAACATCAAAGCGCACAGTGGTGGAAAATATTTAATTGCTAGAGACTCCAAATTGAAAGAATGTTTCTAAGCCTTTAGGCAAAAAAATCATCAAGGTATGCCAAGATGTTTTGTTGCCTGGTGACTGATCAGCAAACCAGTGACTGGAAAGGACTAATAAGCCACAAAGGAGTGGGGGGGAGGTGCAGAATGGGAAGTCTGTCCACCCAAGAAATCTCATGGATCAACTTGAGCTTCTCCAATACAAAAACAGTTTAAAATATATTCAACCTAGAGTAAGTGAAAGGGGAGGAGGGCAAGGAATAATTAGGCAAACACAAACAGACTGCTGAACTAAGATACATAACTCTGTCTTTTCAAGATGCTTCTTCCTGGACAAACAAATGGGCAGGCAGTACCAAGGGCCTTTTGCAAGTACTCTGTATTTAATTCAGCCAGAGGTAATACAGTAGGACTATAATCAAAGTCATCTCAGAGAATGCTTTAACGTTAATGATGAGGTAGGGGGTTGGAGCATAAGAGAAAAGTGCTGCATATAGAGAAATGTGAGACACAAGTATGTGTGCATGGCCCTGTATCTGCACGCATAGTTCAGTTTGTAATCTCAACTCTGAACACACATAACAGAGGTTGTTAAAATATATCAACAACCACATTTTTATGTTTGTTACCCCTTCTTAGAACCCATGTATTTGGAGAGTAGAGCACAAAAACTGGGCTTCTAACTATGCCCCAAGCCAAGCAAGCAAGCCCATGTCTCATAAATGCAAAGGTAGTGTGAAAAGATGATCAAAGGCGTTGACCTAGACAAGAGCCTGGTTTTTTCCTAAACTGAAAACAAATCCCTAAGAGCCCTACTGAAGAAAACTCAGTTCCATATATCAGTGAAGTCCCCAATTAGATATTTTTTTTCCACAGAGAGGGAGGACCTAAAGAATTCTTCCATAACCCAATGGAAGCGGGGAGACATGCTACCTGGAGCAGGGAGATTTCTTCATCGTAGCTGGAGTGTCCAGCATAAGAGCTGTGAAGCTGAGGCTAGCTGTGGTAGAGAGAGCTATCGCAGGACAACCTTGGTCTATTCATTGGGACAAGTAGCAGCACAGGGGGGACAAACTCAGGGCTCTGGGAACCCCACCGTGATCAGGTCTGTGACAATAACTATTACGTCTAATCCTGTTTTATTTACATGTTATCTTTTATTCAGGCCGATTTTTTTAGACTCTGTTTCTATCTGATGGCTTTTTGTTTGATGAGGGAAGGGAGTTTGAGAAAAAAAAATGGCTCAGTCACCTGAGCTCTTTTTAAATAGCTCCTTCAGTAAAAAAACAGGAGATACAAAAGTTGAACGCTCATTAGAAAAAGTCAGTGCTCCAAGGTTAAATTTATTTTTTATTTGAACAAGTCATGAGGTTTTAAAAATCATGCGTTGTACGTGGCAAGCACATTTTGTTTAACATCTTTCACTAAGCCCACAGTTGAAGGCTGTGCTGCTGCCTATGCCTAGCAAACTTGACCAGACAGTGTATGCATAGGACTAAGACATAAGTTCAGGCTATGTGAACCTTGTAAGGTACAAGGAAGTCATCAATAGCTGCTGCAGTCTAGTGAGGTATGCATAAAGGGGCTCTGCTTTGCAGTGGATTATGAGCTCCAGAGCTGAAAAGCGACTTTTCCCTTGTACAGCATCTTACGCACACAGCAAAGTATTTATATGATGTCCAGCCAAAGGGTTTCAGAGTTATGGACTTCGCAAGTGCTTTGCTGTAGTAACTTCATCCCCCCCCCATCTTTTCTTTTTTTCTGCAAACCAGCAGTTAAGTCCTGAAGCCAAAAAGTCATTTTGTGGTTTTTTACACTATCCAATCTTCTCTCTTAAAACCTAAGGAATATTTTATATCAAAATGTTAATTATGGTTATACTTTTCAACACTGAAAAGTCAAGAAGGGCCAATTTTAAAGGAACAAGCTCTGAATTTGAGTAATATAATCAAACTATGTTTCAAATATTATAGGATTATATCATTTTTCTGCATCCCTTTATACACAAAGGTAGCATTTGGATATGCAAAAAAGGTCAAGAAAGAGGCATTTAAATTGCACTAAGACAACCAAGTATAAAACAGTCACACTTATTAACCCATAGAGGCAAAATCTGCTGCTTCAGAACAGTTGTACCTACTAAAGGCTGTGCTGAGAGTTTAGAAAATATCATACAAGGAAGGGTACTAATAAAAATATCAAGGTGTTTATATTTAAAGAGAATAAAAAGTCTGTGTGTTTGTCTACGCAGGAGTTCAAGTCTAAACCAAAGTGGGTTGCACTAACTGCTACATATTAAATGGTAGACTGCAGACACATCCCCATAGCCAACTGGCTCTTATTCCAGTGGAAATCACTGAATCCATGTAGCAAGGACTCCTTCCAGAAAAAGCATTGTTCAAAGCATTGTGGGCAGAAATCCCATGCTGTTTTATGTAGTTGCTGGGCTTTTGACTGGGGGATCTTTCCCACAGCATACGATGAGAAAACATAACAGAAAAACTACTCTTTTGGGACCTGAGATAAACTCAAATTCCTGTTACACCTCCTCCACCATTTAATGGCCCATCTCTTTTTCTGCTGGCTGAAATTGTTTTCAAACTGTTACCATGAAGCATGGATGAAACATTATTCCACAAGCCTACAAAGCAACTTGTGAAGGTGCGTTTGACATCTCACTGCCAGACAGCTTCAGCTGTCAGCAGCTAATGTACAACCATGCAGCTTTTAGAGCAGTTTTGGCAGCAGCACCAGCAGCTAGCCCACCTGCAGCTGCACTGGGAGAACAATGAGGAAAAAGGAAGATGACATAAACCAGATGTTTTTGAAGGAACGTCACTTGTGTCACTGCCATTTATGGGCTTGCAAAACAAGCATTTTAACACATTTTGTCTGGCCATGGTAAACCTTGCTGGAGGAACAAAAAGAACAGTTCAGTATGCTGGGGAAGCCTAGGGTTTACCTTGACCAGCTGAAACAGAAGGTAATTCACCTCATCTACACTAGGATGTTAATGTGTAAAAGAAGGACATTACCTTTTTCCTTGTGAAGCGAATGTGGCTACACAATACTAGCAACAAATATGGTAACTAGTTGACAGTTTTGTTTGCTATAGTTATACATTTTTTAATAACTTGTTTTACAATGCAGGAAAGAAAAAGAAAAGGAAAAAACATTGTGTGTCACATGTCCAGGCATTTGCAGGTCAGTATGCAGGAGTTCCAGCAGAAGCAACACTTAAAATATGATCTTCAGGCAGATAAGCGGCCACTCTGATTTTCCTAATTTTTCCCCATATGATCACATAGGAAACAAAATCCATGTTGAAATCTCAGGGTCTCACTTAAAAATAAGGCAGTAGCAAAAGACTTGATGTTTTCACTCTTATTCAAGCCACTAAAATGACATGAAATTCGACACATTAGGACAGCACAAGCAAGCCAGATACTAGTGAAACAGGACGTACACTTCTGTAAATAAGAGAGGTTCCCCATGCACTTGGCAGTGGACCCAGAAGTGGACCAGAAGTACTTCCAGTCCACTTCCAGGTCTGCTACCAAGTACATGGGGGAGCCACCGCCCACCCCACGCTCCTGTGGGACGTTACATCTGCCCCACCATCCTGAGCCATGCCCAGGTACCTCGAGGTATGTAGAAAAAAACATTTAAAGCTGTGTCTATGGCCAAATCAGCATCGCATCTTCAGATTCAAATTCAGCTGAGTCAAATCAGGACAGTGATCCAAATCAATTAATCTAATCACTGTGCCGCATTTCAGGCCAAATCCGAATCGAATATGGCCTGTTTTTACACAAACCTAGTCTTTGTGAGATAAAATATGCTATTTATAATAAAGCCAAAGGACAAATGCATAGAGTTAAACATGTTTATATCTTTGTGGAGAGGAAAGACTTAGGACTATAAGAATTTGCAACCCTGTAGATATGAACATACATGGAGCACAGAAGAACAGATCTGTTACAGCGATTCAGATTCAAAAAATGAATTTAATAAAGTTCAAAGAGCTTTTAAGAAAACACAGTGAAAGTCTAATTAGTGGTAGTACTGTCTCATCTAACATGCAGAATACACAAAAAGAAATTGTTTGCTGGTACAATATGCCAGTGATTCAAGACAGACTGCCCATTCGTGTATTCCATTTTAGTTACGCATGCACCCCATCTGCTCAAGACCTGAGTTTCAGTTAAACAGGGTTATCTCAGTCTGTGCATCACCATGAGAACACTTATGCCTCAAAAACAGAGTATAAAAGGCAATGAAGGACCAACCAGCACTCCAATTCCTTCTTCACAGCAGGCCTGATGGTACAGTAAACTCCCAAAAGGGAGGGGAAGGTCATAAAAGACACATATGGAAAACTTATTTCAATGGACCTTTCTGTACAGATAAACTACCTTTTTTCTTCTTTGAGCACTTGTCCACGTATATTGTCCACGTATATTATACACTACAAAATTCCCAAGCAATGATTTACTTAAAGTGGCGAGTGCTCAGATTTGGATCTAAAAATAAATTGAGCACTCATCTACCAATAGGCCTTCACCTTAAATGTCTTTCAGCGTGTATAGAGCCTCTAAATAGCAGCTTCACAGGTGATAAATGTATGAAAGTTTCTCATAGAAGCAGGGAGGAAGGAGAAAGGAGGTCTCCATATACAAACACAGGAAAGAATAGAAAGCTCTTGTTTCAAAGGGAGGGCCCATATGACCTGCTAAATCTACATTAGGTGCCATATTGCTGTCAATTCCCTTATGGACAGGGTGACCATACACCCCATTTTCAAATGGAACAGTCCCAGCGAGGCTCTGAGGCACCAAGTGTGCCAGAGCAATGAGGGGGGAGTGGGAAGTGTCCTGTTTCGAGTCAGGAAATAGGGTAACCCTGCTTACAAATGGCAATGCATCCTCTAAGCCTTTGCATTCTAAAGGAAGATGGTTGTAAGCTGAGACACTATTGAAAACCCTTCTCTATGTGTATGACAGATATAAATGCTAGGAAGATGCATCACAAGGTTTCAACAAGAGACCCAAGATGTTTAAAGAACGTAGATTGGTTAGACTCATTGGGATTTGAGACTCAAAGGGCACAAGTGGACATTCGCATCAGGCCACAACGTTTCTCCATTTTACACTATACTCCTTGATATCTGTTATATTTTTTCACACTAATAGAAAATGCTCTATCCCCAAAGTCCATCCAAAAAATCATACAGTAAATGCAAATAGGCCGGTATGATAGCCTAATCTATTATCCTGAGACAAGAGGTCTGATATAAGTGAAATACACCAGAGGACTGCTGAATGATGCAAGATCTCCAGAAAGCAAAACGCCTTGATCACACTGAAATGAGGAGAATAAGCGTGGTGTCGTCTCACCTTACCAAACCTGCTCTGAAGTTTAACATGGAAATGGGATGTCTATATAAGAGCATTCGATGACAGAATGAGGACAGCATCCCCTAGAAATTTTAAATCCCAAGCCCCTCTGAAATGGAAGGTTTGATCTTTCTTATTCTCATGTGTCACAAGATCCCAAGTTCGAAATATTGAATGGACAGCTGGATCCTGTACCTCTGATCCTACTGTTCAGTCTGCCTACCAGCAGAAACCTCTCTATGCAGAGGAGGCCTCAGAGCTTAGCCTCAGCTGCACGGGATTAAGATAAGGAAACCCTCACACGTAAGACTTGCCTGTGAAGAAGTGGAAACTGAAATATCTAGTGCTGTCTCTGGACTCAGTCTTGCTAAAACAAGGCTGAAGAAATTATTTCACTCCTGATGGCCTGAAAGTGAATGAAGGGGCCTAAACCAGTCATTTCTGCTATGTAAGCTTTCAGTTTTTTAGAAAAACTAATTTTAACCTTTGCAACTGAAAGACAATCTTCCAAATGCGAACTCAATCCACGGTAGTTGTACGCCTGGGCCCACAAATGAACAGAGCCTCCAGCTGCTCGCAACTTTTTCAAACAACATCAAGAAGTTAACGTCAGTAAAACTGACCTTGCCTTGTTGATCTGAGGCCTGCAACAGCAGTTAAACAAACAAACAAACAAACAGCAACAACAAACCACGCTAGCTGAGGCACTACTGGGACTGCTACTCTTGAACCTTTCCCACATCTTTGTCTTTTATGCCAAACTCAAGTCGATGTGTAACTCGGTTTAGCAGGCATCCCAAACTATACCAAAGTGAATTACTAGTCATGTCTCAGTTTCTCTGATTGGCAGCTGTGAACAATCTCCACCTGGGCAGCAATTCCACCTGGGTGGAGACAATTGCTCTGACGGAGTCCCCACAGGTTTGGATCCAAGAACTCTCCCGCCGCAGCCCTCAACTGAATCCGTAGCTTCATAGAAGAGATATAACCATATAAAACAAGAACAGGAGCTATTTTCAGGGGCCTAATCTAGGGACTCTACAATCAGAAAAAAAAAAACACTTTTGAAATAGCTTAGATGTGGGAGAAAAGTAACCAAACACTTCTACCGTCACAGCAGACAGGATATTTTGGGAAAGAGGAAGAAAAGAAGGGACACACTTTCAGGAGCCAGAACATGGCAGAAGAAGGAAGGTGACAGTAAGCTCACACCTTTTAGCCAAAGTAAAACAGGACGTAGAAGCCTAGAACAAAACATAGGGATAGAAAACTGACAGCATCTTCAGCACCATGGCATTGATAATTAAATCATTTCCACCATATCCTTCATATTTATTTGGTGTTTAAGATTTTTTTGAACCCTAATGTCACCAAATCACCTCATAAAAGACAACCTGAATATTCTTCTCCGTTACATTTCTGGATTCAGTTCCATTTGAGTTTGTGGCATAAAGTCCCACAGAGGGATCTGTAAACATTTTGACAAGATACTAGCTATACGAGCAAAGCAACATTTAAAACAATTCTTAAGATATGTTGCATTGGCCTCATTTTCTCTCTCTCCTGTTTCTGAGCTTTAGGTGGAACAGACAAGCCTGGAGCAGTTTCTTTTGCCTGCCTTCTTCCCAGATCAGCTGGTGGCCAAACTCTAATCCATAACTTTAAACCAGGGCAGCTTTGTTCCCCCTTTCACACACAAGCTGCATCAAGGTCTTGTTTTTACACCCTTTTCTTTTGGATGAAATATAATTTTAGTAGTGAGGGCTTTCTACATCTAATAGGGATATAAAAGGTTTTTATTTAAAAAAAAGAGGATTCTCCTCTTCATCCAAGTTTCCTGGGGTCACAAGAAGGTTCCTTTTGTTTATTTCTACACAAAAAAGACTAAATATTTTTCACGTGTTTTACTTCTAGTTTGACCTTCTGTCGCTTATCTTGGGTACCTACTGTAAAAGAAACCAGACGATTTATCTTCCTTTGCGTGCTACCAAATCATATGGTCAGCATTCTGTTTTACAAGAAAGTTGAAGAGCAGGAGTCAAAGAAGGAGCATTTTTGTTGGGCAGATGTAACAGTTTAAGCAGCAGTTTCTTTCACTTCCATTTTGAAACAAGACAAAAAAAAAAGAAAGGAAGAAATGCTATTTATTTCTGAACATGGATGATGCCAAAGATTTCACATTTTCCAAAATATAACAATGAAAACAGACTCTCTCAGACTCCGGTCTTCCTTTACCTATTTATTTCCTGATCAGCAAAGTCAGGTTTTTCATTTCTAGACACAAAGATCCCATGCCTTGAAGGTACTAACACATGCACCCACTTGAAATCTCCCTCCTACCCAGGCAAGAAAAAACAAAAGCAAGGGGCGCCAAAGGCTGCTCTTTACTCTAGTCCTCAAGTCAGGTACCGCAGATGCATGGGGAGACTAGCAAAAGTTGCATTTGGGGTTGAGGACACGGATACGGAAAGCTGAGACGTTTCTCTACGCCAACCTGTTGAGGCAGACAGCGGGATTCAAAGAGGAAGTTAAGGGGGGTCTTGCCCCACTTCATGCTTCCGGGATCCTCGTGTGAGCGCGGAGAAGCGGAGCAGGCTGCTGGGGGGGGGACTGGCAGGTGGCAGCAAAATCCTGCCCTGCCTGCCCCTCTCTGGGCGCCACGACCCGTCTCACGCACCACCCCCCATCCTGGCCCCAGCCCCGCAGACACGGGCTCCCTGGCGCGGGGGCAGGAGGGCAGGGAGTCCAGTCCCGTCCCCATGACCTGCGCGGCACGGCCGGGCTGGGAGTCCTCGGCGGGGCAGGGGCAGGGGCAGGGCCCGGGCCGCTCACCTTGGGGAAGGTGCCCTCGCGGCGCGGGCTCTGCGGGTGGTCGAAGTGGCCGCGGTCCAGCATCAGGTAGAGGGAGAAGATGACGACGCAGAAGATCGCGCTGCCGAACACGGTGAACTGGCGGCTCAGCTTCATCGCTGCCCCCCGCCGCCGCCGCCGCCGCAACTTCTGGGCCCCGCTCCGCGCCCCGCGCTCGGCCGGGCAAACTTCTCCCGGCGGCCGGGCCGGGTCGGGTCGGGCCGGCAAGCCCGCGAAGTTGCCGCGGCGGGGAGTT